ACCAAACCCACATAAATCTCTAAACTCACCCAAACCTCTAAACCCCAAGTCCTAGGGCATCCCAAAGCTAACCCTCACACCCCAGTCCTATAACATATCCTGTAAATATATCCTATAAATATCCAAATCGACACAGAAACCCAAAGCCTTCATGCTCCAAACCACCAAAACCCCAAACCTACAAACATGGAAACCCATAACCCCAAACTGCGAACTCCTAAATCCTGTAAGGTCCAAATCTACAAACTCCAAATCACCCCAGGCCCACAATCACCTGACCCCACATACACCCCAAGCCTGGAACCCCTGCACCTGGAGACCCCCAAGTCTGTAAATGTCCAAGCTCCCAAGCAGAGCCATCCACAAACAATTGAATACCACAAACACACACCCTATAAACAGCCGACTCACAGGCAGCCAAATCGCTAGCATCCCCTAAGCTGACTCTCCAAACACCCCAGTGTACCCTGGATTCTGCAGGAAAGTGTGCCTACAAATGCTCTCCTCCCAGAAGCAGCTTTGTCCGGGGTGAAGACTCACATGGGGTCCCCCAGGGCCACGGGGAGGCTGGTCAGCAGCAGCAGCAGCAGGCTGGGGCCTGAAGCAGGTCCCATGGTGCAGAGTCGGTGGAGGGGCAGAGGGACAGGAAGGAGAGGACCAGGAGGAGTGAGCAGGAGCCCTGGAGGCCACCTCTTATCTGCCAGCTTCCCCCCTCCCCCCGCCTCCCTGGGGCTGCCCCACATTTCTCAATACCATTTCCTAAGCTTTTGGATCCCCAGGCCAGAGCTGTCTGGGGTGAGTAACCTGAGAACATGCCCTCCTCCATCACGGGCACACCTGCCCCACCTCCTCTGTGGTCAGGGCCAGCTTGGGAATAGAGACTTTGCCCTGCTGAAGCCACTTGGTGGCTCAGGGATATTGAGGTCCATAGGGAGGCCTCTGGATATTAGGGCCTGGCCTATCACTTTCAGAGGCTTTCATGTTAGGATGAGAAGGGACAGAGCCCAGCACAGACACCCCTAGCCACATGGGGGACAGACAGGGGCTGAAGAAGCCCATGGTGAGGACTTCTGCTTCTTGGAGAGTCAGGAAGGCTTCAAGAAGGGGACATTTTATTTTATTTATTTATTTTTTATTATTAGGATTTGGGTGAAGATTTACAGAGTAAATTCACTTTTCATACAGCAGTTCACATATACTTTGTCTCATGACATTGACCAAAATTTACAA